TCTATAAATAGACAAGAAAAGAGTGCCAGTGGAAAAAATATCATGGCATTCATTCCCTATTTTCTCCCCACAGAATAAAAATGTACTGTGGGATTTAGGCCTACACTTTGCTGTATGATGGTTGTTAAAGGTCTGACAGCCACATGCTGGCTGTCTTTGGAAGGCTGAAGTGTGGAGGAGCTTATAGGAGCCAGAATCCTGCAAAAGGTGCTCTCCATTTCCAGCCAAGGCCCAGAGCCATCACTGCTCCTTTCCTGTATCAATGGCCAAGCTTGAGAAGCCAAGCCACCTGGTGCTGTTCGGAGAGCCAAAATGCGGAAGATATCCTGGCATAGGCTGACCAGAAGTCTGCAGTGTTGTTGAGTCTCAGTCATTGTCTCCTCTATGACTTGGGGCAACCCCCAGAGCTGCATGCTCTGCTCCAGCTTCTGTGTAAATCAAAGGCATGTGGTTTTGAACTGCTGATCCATTTGTGCTCTTGTCCTTGCTCTCCAGGATGCAAACATCAGTGTCCATAGGAGATGACAGATTCCTCCAAGCTTACACAGCAAGTGAGTTGGCAGTGCTTATACACAGGCCCTGATGGAGACATTTGTTTTCCTTTATAAACTGTAAATGAAGAAACAAGACAGCAAATGATTTGGCACCTTGTGTTTCTAAATGAGATTATTTTGACAGTTTCCCTCCTTCAGCATTAACCATGGGGTCCTGCATTTTTGGCCATTGTAGGTCCCCATTTATGTGGGAATTTTTTTGTGCATCCCACAGCTGAGCAGCTGCCGATTCTGCTTAACCCAGGGCCAAATCTCTTCCCCAGCTTCAAAGGGAAAGAGATCCCACCCATGAAATGCCTTACTAGCACAGCATTGGCATCTCCATGGGTTTAAACACACCAATGACTTGCTTTGCAGCTAGCGAACTGCCTGCTGTCTAACTGGTAAAAGGACTTATCTGGAGCACCAATCCTGGGCCATGGGAATGTGTCCCCAAGGGAATAAGTACATCTGTGGTGGTGTTTGAGCACCAACTATTCAGCTCATCTCCAAGTGATGGTAATGCATGGAAGTGCTGCATTAGTGTTGCATTACAGCAGAAGTTTGACCAGGACCTTTGTCATTTTTCTGTGTCTGTCTGGCAACAAAACTGTAATAATTGTCTACGGACAGTTAATGATGTGTTTAAGTACCAGACTTTCTAACATTATAAATGTTTAGAGGGGTGATAAGAAACATTTTCCTTCAGACCGCTGTTCCCATAATAATTATAAATTGATAGTATTTATTGGAAGGCAATCATAGAATCATAGAACAGTTTGAGTTGGAAGGGACCCTTAAAGGTCATCTAGTCCAACTCCCCAGCAATAGACAGGGACACCTACAGCTTCATCAGATGCTCAGAAGCACCCTATTCAGCCTTACCTTGGATGGATGCCCTCATCCTGCAACCTGTGTTGATGTCTCACTACCCTTATCATAAAAATTTCCTCCTTATATTCAATCTAAATCTCCCCTCTCTGGTTTGAAACCATTTCCCCTTGTTCTACCACCACAGACCCTGCTAGAGTCTGTCGTCCCCCCCCCCCCTTTTTTTTAGCCCCTTTAGATACTGAAAGGCTGCTATCAGCTTTCCCTACAGCTTTCTCTTCTCCAGGCTGCACAGCCTCAGCTCTCTCAGCCTGTCCTCACAGGAGAGATGTTCCATCCCTTGGATCATTTTTGTAGCCTCCTTTATACTTGGGAATTAGGCAGGTTTATTACTGAAACTCTTCTGAAACTGTGAGTGCTACTTTTGGCTATGCATCTTAAAATATATTAATTTATCTCTTGAAAATTCTCAAATATTGGTTCCAAAAAGAAGTCTGAGAAAACAACAGAAAAAGAAGATAGTAAGATACCAGCAAAATACCAGTTTCCTTTAAAACAATCAGGGTATGACTAATGCAGAATTGGAATTAGGATAATAGTAAAACACTATTAAATGGGAAATAGCTTTCTCTACTCAAAGGATCTTAATGAAATTTCCCCAATTTAATCAACAAATTTAGAAGAAAATTTGACCACACTGAAGCAAAAAGGACTCATTTCTCATGAGTGATCAGTGAATTATCCTGTGAAGTAAAAATTCTCTACAGCAGAATTTAGCACCTTTGTAGCCCACTGGCCACAAAAACACAGAGGAGAAGGCGAAATCTTGCTGATGGCTTCCCAGGCACTCAGTGCTTCTTGTTTAAATAATAGGCGAGTCATCATCAGTCTTAATGGGAGTCAGTGCTGGTCTCATTACACAGATTTTTTTTTACATCAGTGGGTATTTCCCTCCTTCAAACCATTCCTGCAAGAGAGGGATTTGCTGCTCTTTGTCAGGCTTTGTCAGTGTCAAGAACTTTGATAAATGCTTTGCTGTTCCTTCTTTGAAGGAGTGGTCAGGCACTGGAATGGGTTGCCAGTGGAGGTGGTGGAGTCACCAACCCTGGAAGTGTTTAAGGAAAGTTTGGATGTTGTGTTGAGGGACGTGGTTTAGTAAGAACTTTTGGTGATAGGTGGATGGTTGGATTGGATGATCTTGTAGGTCTTTTCCAACCATGGTGTTTCTGCAACTCTGTGATACATCTAAAGTTCTTCAGAGTAATTTCATAGAATCATAGAATCATTAAGGTTGGAAAAGACTTCTGAATCTAATCCAGCCATAAACCTACCAGCACCACGCCCACAAACCCATGTCTCCAAGAACCATATCACACATTTCTTGTTCACCTCCAGGGACAGTGACTTCACCAACTCCCTGGAGGTGATGGTCTGGTCTGATTTAATTGCTTTTAGAAGAAAACAAACGATGCACTATGCTGAAATAAAAGATGTTTCCCTTAGAGACTACTATTTCAGGAACCGGAGAGCCTCTTATTTCTGAACAGCACAGAATGGGATGCATTTCTCCTTTCAGATAGAAGGAGAAGCCCCTTAGATGGGCATCATAGTGACATTCCTCTGTTAACACAGATGGCTGAGTTTAGGCTGAACAGACCAATAAATGTTCTTGTTTGACTTGTGCCCTCTGAAGCCGTGGTTGATTCACAGTCTTTAGTGCCTTTGTGTGGCCATCTAGTCACCTGGCCAGCTGCCCAGGGACAGCCTGCTCCTACCCTTACCCTTGGACATATGGCTGTAGTGCTGAGCAAAGGGCAGCCTTTGCTGCAGGGCAAAAGGCAGCAGGGGCACGGAACTGGGAAATTCAGGGGAATTCTCCTCTGTTTTCCCCTCTGCTCAAGCTCTCTTCTCTGGCAAGGAATGGGAAGAAAAAATGCAGAGTGAGTCTGATGTCCTCAGGCACTTCGCCTGCTTGTGGTGCTCCCAGAGGATTTGCAAGCGGAGGGGGCCCAAGGCAGGTGACCCCCTTTAAGCAGTTTACCCTAAGCTCCCTTGAGGGTCTGCAGAGTTCTTTGAGTTATCAACCACCTGATCTCACTTCAGGCTGTCTCCAGCTGAACACATCCAGCTCCCAGTAGAGCAGGGGAGAGTTGGTTCCCATTAGAAATTCCACCTGCAGACATCTACCAGGGAGCTGGTAGGTAGAACTGCCATTTCCCACTGGCTTCACCCAGTTACAGCTGCTGTGGGAGCACAGCCCCCAGGCACCCATCCTGTAAAGCTGAATTTACATTTTGCACAGCCAAGTAGGTGTCATTTTGAGGTCTGGATACCAGAGCATTAGTAACACAAGTGCAGTACTCATGGGTGCAGCCCATATAAAGAAGATGTTCCCCTCCAACAGCAGTTGCCAAAGAACATGCCCCCGAGACCTGCATTTTTGTACAGTCTGTCAGAAAGCAACAGGTCTAAAATATACCTGGACAGAGATAATGAGCTCCAGGCTTTATGCTTAGGAATGATTAAAGCAGTAAGATTATTTGAAGGCAGGAGATCTCCAGGGGATAACAGGCAGCAGGTCCAAACCCACAGGGAATTAAGTCAATATTCACTGCAGAAGATGGTCACTTTGCTATGATTTGTCACATATGTATAATTCAAAAATTAGTGTGCAGTTCTGTTCTTTCAATAGTGCCTTCTAATAGTTTTTTGAAAGATTTATTTACAAAGGCTTATTGCAATATTTTATTCATTCTATTTTAACTTTTTATTACAGGCAACAAAAGCTGAGAAAATACATTGAGAAATTGCTCTTATTATGCCCATAAACTACCCTTGACTAGACAGTAAAGTAGTAGCTGTTTTACAGAAAAGTGTAACTTGCTTCACAGTTCACCACAGCTTTGGAAGATTTCTACACCAAAATCACTCTTTACAGCTGCAAAATTGAAAAAAAACACCTCAAAATGAAGTACCTACAGAGGAGATTTAGGACTGAATTAATAGATTAAAAAGCCCCAGATTTCTAGAGCTAGATGGTACTAATCCAAGTGCTCAAACATGAAATTGAGGAAATATTAAGTATTGTTTATCTGTGCCTTCCTATCTGAGAAATGCAGGTCAATAAATACAATCTCAGTGTACAAAGCATGATACTACTCTTTCCAAGTTCTTTATGAGTTATATAAGGATTCTGAGACTAGTGATCCTCTCCTTTACAGCACACAAAAAATATAAGCTATAATAAAGAATTATAAAACACCGATATGGAAGATTGATATGTTGTTTAGAATTAATGGCATTTTTATAGAAAAAAAAGAATGGTGATTCACATATCTCTTTTAGGATTATTTGAAAAGAGACCATGAGCTTGAAGATAAATAAGGGTTTTCTTGATGCAGAAGACCTGGAGTTCCAAAAACCTCAAATGTCTCACGAAGACTTGTAATGAAACAAAGTTTTAAAGGAAAGTCCTACTTCAGATTAATTACTGAAAGCAATTAAACTAGCAACTGCTTGATTAATGAATCAAGGGATTAGAAATGAACAGTTTGATTTCACATTGGAGAGCAAGAAGAGGTGGGTTTCTGCCTTAAGGTTCTCCATTCACTTCTGTGCTGTCTGTTCCCAAAAGGCTTTGGAGAAAGGGAAGATGCTTGACTAAATCTACACCTGACTGATGGGCTGAGAAAGGGTCTTGTGATCTTCTGCAGCTTTAAGATAAAAAGGCACGCTCCATTCATTTTGGATCTCCACCCAGCACTCACCAGCAAGTATGCTACATGGAAACACAAGGCATGGCTTATCATTCTGTCACCTGCACACGGGATATGTGATGGTTATCTTTTATGAAGAGGTACTACATGGCATATGGGTGCTTTGTGAAGCCGTAGGAGATATTTCTGTGGAAAATCTCATCCTTGAACACAAAATGTCTGGCCAGAAGATGAGTTTGCACATGGTGCACTGTGGTTTCCACATGCCCTGTGCCAGGGCTGTACCAGTGGCAGTGGGCATGAGAAGTGAGAGCACTCTCCTCTTTGCAGGTCTGCACACTGTGAAATAATTGGTCTCAACAGAGATCTGTCCACACACCCTAAAGCAGCCACAAAAAACAAATGTCTCCCCATGCTGTGAGCAGCCAGCGTTCAGATTATGAGCTGAAAGTTGGACCTCTTGACAGCATACAGCATGTAAAGCCCAAAGAGAAGATCAGAAGATCTTTCATCCAAAGAAGGGAGGACACATCTTCAGTACAGCCCTTCACCACCCTGTGTTCAATCAATATTTCCTCAGTGCTGAAGCAATCCTTTTTTCTTTTCCAGTCTTTCCCTTATGTAAGGTGAGTCGGGCCCATCCAGTATTTATGGCAGTCGTTATTTCATATTGATTGTTTTTAGCTCTTAGTATTCAGCAGCAGAGAACTGTCTATTGAAGTTCAATGTGAAATCTGACTAGAGCAGCACTGTGATAATTATTTTATGAATTAATTACAGTTAAGTGGCTGAGCATAAGGGCAATTGTAATTATCTGTATCATACAGTGAAATCCTGCAAACTGTCATGCACTTGAGCCTCTGTACTTTTCCTCTGTCTCTTAAGCTCATTGAAGCTAGCACCATAATTTGGCTCACAGGCTGTGTTGATTGAATGCAATAAGTCTGTCCTAGGCTTGTGGGTTTTTCCCCCTGAAGATCCTATTAGTAGCCTTTTCCTCTTCCATACTCTCATCCAGTTGCTATGTGAAACAAGTTTCAAGGTCAGGCAATAACTCTGTTAGTCTTTATGGTAACATCCCTTTTTTGGGTAAAAAATCTTATCAAAATGATTCAGGAATGAGTGTGGAAGCATCTATCTAATATTGCTTGCTTGTCTTGGGCAACTGTCTGAACTCTGCTTAGTAATGTCATATCTCATCTCTGCTGCTCCCCTCCTACTTCTGAATCTGCCTGAGGAGGGTATTAAGACTGAAACCAAACAATCACAAAAGCTGGCTGTGGCCTGGCTTAGCTGGCCTGGCTGTGAACATCTGTCAAAAAGATATTAAAAAGATAGACTGGAGCAGAACTTGCAATGGTTGGCCAGAGTTTAGTGAAGCTTTTGTGGATATTCAGAAACTCACAACATCTAGCACAGCCAACACAGTGTGTGCGTAGGAACACAGCAAAATTTCTGCTGATCAGGTAGGTACCACTTGGGACATGGGCAGCGTTATAGCTCAGCCCTGATCTGAGGGCTGAAGGGTCCCTTTGCTCTCCCCACATCCCATGGGGATGTTTGCACATTCCATGTAGCCCCTTATGATCAGCTCTGGAAACAAAACTAGTTTTTAAAATCAGAGAAATGTGGTTTGTGTGGGAAGAAGAAAAGATCAAAGACTAATTAACTTAGATCTCAGGAAACGAACCACAGATCAAGCAAGAAAGAAACTAGGAAAATTGAAGAAAGATCTCTCATGCTGCAAAATTATATCTGGAGAGCTGAAGTACACAGCAAAGTCTGCGGTGAGAGCAAGAGGCCCCGAAGCAATGCAATAACAAAGGTGAGAGAGGAGAATATAGTAACACTTTTCTCTAAAAATGGTTACAAGGCACTCGATGAAAGCAGGAGAAATGTATGGCTTGCACTATGTGTAATCTCAAACACACTTTTTTGCAAATGTAAAAATCAATATAAATGATGTGAAATAGAAAACATTTCCCCAAAATGTAAACACTGAGGATATTTTCATTACAGTGAGACTGTGTGATACAGAGTACTGCATGTTACTTGCTCTTCAGCCCTTGTTCTAGAAGATGTGAGTTAGAATTATAACTTACTAAAAATCAGTAATCTAATATTTCTAACTTCTGGCCATTGTAAAATATTTTGATCAGCTTTCTGACCATCCACAAAGTGAGCAGCTATTGCCCTTCTCTCTATAGAGGAAATGAGTTTGTTAGATTTTGGCTCTGCCCTGAGTAGCGCTAAATAAATAAATCCAGATGACTGAAATGCATGGGAAAGAGTTAAAGCAGAGCAAAGGCCAAAACTTTCTGAAATATATCTAGAAATTCAGTTGACATCCATGGCAGCAGAACATCACAGCCTCTTTGGAGGTACTTAGTTTAATTTTATACAGGGATAAACACAGCTGATCTGGAGACTAATTCAGTCCTTATTGCTTTCAGCCTTGTTAGGGAAATGAATCTTTCTAAAAGCAACCATGGGAGCTGGATCTGCCAAGATAAGGCTCTGAGAGCAGGGCCTCTGATTACCAATCCATTTTGGAGATGTTTCACTGGAGTGACTGGAGGCATGACGATGACATTTTGCACTATCCCTCTCATTTTCATGGTCTTGTCAAGTCACATAGCTTGGGGAAGATAACAATACAATTAGGATAAATGCCCATCGACACCTGGACATTCAACCTCCAGTTCTGCTGTCAGCCTCTAAACTGCTCTACTAGTACTAATGAACAGTAATCTCCTGAAGACGTTGAGACAGAACCTTACAGCTATCTCACCTACCAGTACCACTGGGAAACACTGCAGTAGTTTGGGAAATAAAATGCAGTTGCACTCATTCTTTCATTCTTTCTCATGGTTGCTCATGACATCATTCTTTCTACCATCCAAAATAAGTGGCAGTACATAGCCTCCAGAAGTGTATTTCAGGCTGCTTGCATGATAAATCACCTTTCACTGCAAAAAGTGAAGAGCTGACAACCCTGTGTCTATGCTTTTTAGCATGTCCTTTGGAAAGAAAACTGACTCCTTCTTTTTTGAAATTTTTGTTCTGGAAATACAAAAAGTCTATTTATGTGGAAGTATATATATATATAGATAGATTTTTTTTTCTTTCTTTCTTTCTTAAGTTTTTTAGTCCTTAGAGGCTTCTATGATCTCTTATCCTACCGTGGTTGAAGCAAACTCCAAGAGATGTGTTGCCAGAGACATGATTATGATTATTTCCTTAGAACAACTACTATTTATGAGCGACGTTAGCCTGGCTTAAGCAATGCATTCAGCATTCTCAGTTCTTTTGTCAGAAATGTAAAATACCATGAGTGTTTGAGAAGTTGATTCTTGTTAATTCTCAACCCTTTCAAAATTCAGTTTAACTGTTGTCCTTTCTAGGACAAAGTGCTGACTGCAGCAGCTCATCTTGGGAAGGTGTCAAAACCTCTGAAATAGAATACTTTCTGAGAGTCAAACGGGGAGAAGATTCAGCTTACAGCCAGGCTAACTCAGCTTCTTAGAATGGTTAAAGTGACATCTGCCTCTTCCATATCCTTGAGTCTGGGTTGCTCCCATATCTCACCTTACATCATCCCTTTCTTCTGGGCACGAATGTAAGATTCTGGATGGTGAACTGTTATGATCATGGGGAAGCCATCTAGGTATTTCTATCTATAGAATAGACTGCATAAGACTGAATTCTGCAGTATGAGCTGGGAGAGATCAGGTGAAGCAGAATATGTCTCAAACATGAGACTTTTACTTTCCCTTTTCAAGATTTTACACCTTTCTGTTAAGTAGACCGTTTTGTACAATGGACTTTCTTTATAGAGTTGTAAACTGTAAGGTTTTTCCAAGTTACCCATTCCCATTCAGTCACTTCACCTTCCCCTCCACACAGACGAGCTGAAGAATCAATTCCCATCTTCGGAGATGTTAAAGCAGCTAATAAGATTGATAGGGCTACTTCACCTCCAGATATAGCTGCCCAACTTTTGCTCGCTGCTCTGTATATCAAAAATTTCTACCCCTCCTTTAGGAAAAGAAAAATCATGGCTGAAATGCATTCTTGACTGATATCCTATAAACATTTGGAGACACAAGTATGGTGGGATATAACAGGTGATAGAGCAGGGCTTTAAAAAAAAATTAAGATGTTTTAAGAAAAAAGCATCAGAAGTTGTAATTATTTAGGGATTTAAGGCCTCTTCTTGTGTCTTTCAGTAACTACAAGTGTTTAAAGTAATGAGAGATTCTTGCTGTCAATCTATACCTCCTGACTGACAGATTTTGCAGTCTCTGTTATGAACTTCTAATGAAAGTTTTGTTCAGCATGAAGATTCCTCCATATTTTAAAAGCCTAAAGAGAACCTCCCTGCTACACAGGAGAAATTCCAACTTACAGCATTCAGGTAACTGATGTTCAGTGAAGTTATAAGCACTGAAAGCAGGTTGTTAGTTGGTACTTTAGTAATCATGCCTCACTCAAACTCTGTGCCTGTGTGTGTCAGTTCACCAGGCAAGAATCACAGAATCACAGAACTGTGGGAGATGGAATGAACCTAAAGAGATCATGGAGTCCAACCCCTCTACTGAAAAAGGTACCCTACAATGGGTTGCACAGGTAGGCATCCAGGTGACTCTTGAATATCTCCATAAAAGGAAACTCCACTACATCTCTGGGCAACCTGTTCCAGTGCTCTGTCAACCTTACAGCATGTCAGTACAGAACTTCCTATGTACAAGATTTAGGCAATTACTGATAAAAAAGCTTTGTTTCCAAGTGAGTTCTCAAATTAAAAGATTACAGGAGCGTCAAAGCACGCACCCACCTTGCTCAACAGGTGTCAAAATCAGCTGAATAGAAATTGCTTCAAGGATCAGTTAAGGACAGCACCCTGCTCTAATCTAGATATGTATACCCTCACTGATTCAGAAAACAGAGAAGGTAAAGCAATGGGAAAAGTCTCATCTTGAAAATATTTGTTCAGAAAAGCAGTTCCAGTGTGTAGCCATGCTAATAAAAAAAATAAAAATAAAAAGGGCAGGCAATCACAGCCATTGCCAGGATTGCCAGGACTTTCATGCTCTGCTTAGGCTGCACCTTTGATCCTACACGAAATCCCCAAAGCTTTGTGCCACCTGAAAACAAGGCCCTATCGCCTCCGAATAGAACTGGCTTAAAGGATGGATCCGTTTCTGAAGGACACAAAGCATGTGATGCAGCTATACATAGGAAAAAACCCATGTGATTTCATAAAAAGAGTTATGCTCCACTGGCTTGTTAGAACATGGTGAGTTTTACTGTCAGTGTAAAGGCTTCTGCAATGAAGCTGAGCATGACACTGGGTAGGATATTCATAAAGCTTTTAACCCAATTCCTTGGTTTCCAATTAAAATAACATCTGAAAGGCAGAATCATAGAGCCATGAGATATTAGTGCAGTGCTTAAAATTAAGCTAATTCTAGAAACCATCTCTTAAAAAAAAATTAACAATCATGAGAGACTCTGCGGAAGTCAGATGTGGGATGTGAGCTTTGTAATTGTTTATATTAACAATGAGCATAATAGCAGAGAAATAAAGGTTTTCTGGTTTGTAAATTACACAAAAGAGCGACAAATGATAATGGACTTTGAAATTGGACTCTGAAGCAATATCAAATAGTGAATGTGATTAAATATAGATAAACAGAGAACAATCAGTCATGGAACAAGAAAACAAAAAAGGCAAATGCAAAAATGGAAATTTGCTGCTGCGAACTGCCAAGAAAAGAGATTTGTCAAAGAAAGAGAAAATAGATCAGAAGATGTCCTAACTTCAGGCAGCAGCTTCGCTAATGAATGCAAACAGGACGTTGTCTGCACTGCTGGGGAATTAAAACATTTGTAAATCAAAGGAAGAGATAGAACAGTGTTTCTGTACAACATATTCGTTAAAGGCCTTCTCTAGTAACCATCATTATGCTTTTGGAAGAACCTTATTTCTCTTAATAGGGCAAAATAGAGATGAATCCTAATATCTCAAAGATTTGAATGAAAGAGAAATTGTATAAAAATGAGACTTGCTCCTCAGTGCCTGATGCCATGCATGTAAACATTTTTATAATTAATCAATAGCATTGTTTCTGAGAAAGAATATACACAGGTAAGAATAACAGAGAAGAAATACAGTGCCCTCCAACAATTCTTAGTGCCCTCCATGCCATGACCTCCCTCTGCCATCTGAGGACAGCATTGCCCACAGGAGTAGATAATTTTGAAATACTGAGGAGAAACGTGCTGGGGAAGGGTCCTCCATCTGAGGTGCCCTTGGTGCAGTCACATCCATGTCCTGAAGAACCAACAGCTATTGTTACACATCACTGACAAAGAGATGTGCTCTACTCTAGAGAGCTTGCTATGCAGGTAGACAAAAACAACTGGAGACAGCAAGACATTTGCAGAGCGGTGATTTAGAAGCATAGTCGTTGAACCAGGATCTCCACACACCAGTTTTGTAGAGTTAGAAGTACACAGCTGTTTCTGAGGTATAAAACATTTGTACAGCAAGGTTTTATTTTATTCATTGCCTTCCCATGGGCTTTTTCAGCAACTGCATCTCTCTTCATTTCTGACCCTCAATTTCCAGGTCTGCTGTGTATCCTTTTCCTTTATTGGTGCTGCAGTAGTGCTAAGCTCTCTAACACATTTAATACATCCTTTCTTTACAGCACTAGCTGTTCAGCATGAATGTATTGCTCTTTACTCGTCGATCTTGTGTTCCCCTGACACTATTTTTGACAGGTTTTGAACACGTCACAGATAGAGAGGAGGGGAAGAAGAAATGAATCAAACTAAAATCCCAGGCAATGAGCTTTCTTGCTTCTGAAAGCTCTTTTTAGTTTATGTTTGATCAGAAAGTTCATTTATTATCCTATTTTTAAGAGTTGCCTATTCTACCTCCAAGATCATAATTGCTTTGCAGATTGCTTGTATCATTAATACACTATATCTTCATTTTCTAGCCTAGGTAGTAATTGAGCGTTCAGTCATTGTTATACTCACCATTCTGCCAACATTTATTAAAATGAGGCAATTAACTATTGTCTTAAATGGAGTTTAGAGGTAAGGCTCATTAGTTTTAGACTCATTACAATTAAGTGGGATGATAAATGTAAAATTATTTTATTGCAGCTTGGTACAGAATACTTGTTTTATTATCTAATGTCAGTGTTGACTTTGCAGTGTGATTTTGCAGTTCCTCTGGGCCCATTTTATGGAAATTCAAGCAATTACATAGGTGCTGTTATAACTGATAAATCTCAGTCCATTTACGTCCTGATGTTTGACACTGGAGTTATGCTGCCTCTTATCTTCTGTAAGGTAAAGCTGCCCCAGAAGAACTTTATCTGTTGTCTTCTGAAAGCACACAAACGTTTTAATCCTTTGAGCAGTTTCCACACCTTTGTTTCATAGGCACTTCCATGTCAGATGCCATTTTGTCAGACTGCTCCTCTGCTGCCATCTGTCACATGGCAATAAAATGTAACAGAATATTGGTGGGAAGGTTCATCCTCTACTGTCGTAACACCAACACTCATCTCTGACATCATGGGCTGACATAATAAAATAGGAGACACTGCTTTCAGAGCAAGGCTTGTGAAACCCTCAAATCACATTGAGAAAAATCATTCACATTGCACATGCAGGAAGACACTAATGCAATTAGCGGGCTGGTAGACAAAAAGTATCTCTCCGCAGGCTATTTTAATTAACTCGAGAGAAGTTTCTGAAGACAAAAAGTATCGTTCTTCTACCCAAGACACCTAAACCTGGACATCTAAACCTAAAGTCTGTCTACAAGGTGGTGTAGATTCATAGGCTGATTTCCACCACGCACTCAGCTCAGCTATGAACCTCTTGAATAAGTGCTTTTCTAATTAAGATCCTTAACGTAGACCAAAGATCATAGAATCATTCAGGCTGGAAAAGACCCTTAAGATCATCTAGTGCAACCACTGCTCATGTAAGCTATGTGTTCAACAAGCTCTAGGAGACAGCTCCTTATGTAATTCGGAAGAATTACTCAGGAGCATGATGTTAAGACACCTTATTAACAGCTTTGCTGAATGAGGGCCTGAAGATCTAAATATACCCAGACAAGCTTGCATATCATATCAGCTAATACCTCTTATCCATATACCCAAACATACTCACTCTTGCAGGGCATCTTCTATTGCAGCTTTTGTGTCACTGGAGATGTAAATTACATCACTGTCTTGCTTATATTCTTCTTAGGAAATTGAGAACATCTATTAGAGCACAGAGGACTTACACCTACAGAGCTTCATACCTCACCAAGTTTCTTTCTTGTATTCACAATGAGATAAAAGCCACAGAGTTGGTAAATGCCTGTTTGAAACCTGCCAGGCTTTCTTGTCAGTTTGTGACAGCTTTGGGAATCCCTGGGCTGGCTGCAAAAATACTGCTGTTGTGGTCCTTTCTCCAACCAGTTTATGGCTGTAAAACTGTACTGTTGAAGTCAAGGGGAGTCTGATCTCTATCTGCAGGATGGTCAGGTGGCCTAAGGAAATTGCACTGAGTCACAAATGGTCTTTCTCATCACCGAAATACCACTCCAGAGAACGAGGACTCTGATCTGTCAGAAATCCATCAGTCAGTCCCTGGGATGTACAGGAGAGCTGTGTCAGGTCCTTAAGAAATGCCAAGGTTAGATGTATTGAGATATCAGGTTAATCAAGAGAGCTTCTTGAGTGAAAGAAACATGTAAACTTGCAGAATTTAGTCTCTTTTTGGCATTTCTTCTTGATGCACTAGAACATCTGCAAAATATCTGTTTTTTCAGTTCATTAGCCAAAAAGAAAAATGGGACAGGGAGCAGTGGGAAAGAGGAGAAGATTTCACTCAGTTGAAAGCCAAAGCCTTTGTGAATGGGAAAGTAACAAATAATTCATGTCACATTAAATAAAATCTTGTACTTGATCCAAAACAAAATGCTCGTGTGAGGAGTCTTCTTAATGTTTGAATGTTTAATAAAAGCAGTCAAATTAAATTAAATCAAACCTGACTTTGAATAAAGGTCTTCTTTAAAAAAATGTCAAAGTAAGAGGTGAGGAGGCTATCAAGAAGCCTTCAAAATGCAAACAGAATCATGGAATAATTTATCCCAGAAGAGACTTCAGCATGGGGCCATGCCTTACTGTGTTTCAAGTATCTTCAAGGATGGAAATTTCATATTGCTGCTTGATAATCATTGAATGAGATGCTTGTGGAGCACTGCTAGATGGGCTTCTGCAGGAGAAGAAATCAGGAGTGCAGACAATGGATGCATCAGCTACTTGCTACTGCTCTGCAGCAAGGTGGCTGTCCAACATCCAGCATATTTAATGTTGTCTGGACTGCTCTGTTGATGAGGAACATAAACATATAAATATATGTATGTATATAGATATTTATTTTTTTTCTGAGATATTGAGAAGACCAGGTTTTAACCCAGACACTGCTCACACTTTCAGTGAGGCTGAATGTGAAGAAGTGTGCACAGATCACACTGCTGCAATGCCCAGGCATCAGTGGTGTTAGCTCAGTTTTCCTCTTACCAGCCTGTGGGGAGAGACGTGTCACATGGAACAGGGAATAAGGCAAGAAGAGGTTGTGGCCTGAATCTTGAAAGCATTTTAGGCACCTCGTATGCATGGATGCCATGGAAAGGAAGCAATGCTTAATTTCTTTTGAAATTGAGTCCCTAAGAGATTTGTTAAACGCTTTATAAACTAGCTGAGTAGAGAACAAATTGAACCTTTTCTCCTCTGCCCTGAGTATTTTGAGTGCTGGAGCAGGCTCTTGCTCATTGTGTCTGTTCCCAACACATGAAGATGGATGTTGCCTTTGGAAACAAGCAGAAGAATTCATGATTCTTTTACTGTGTAAACTTTATAGAATGTCAAATGCGACACAAAGTGATGGCAAAGATGCCAGTTTGGAACTGGCCAGTAATGTACATGGGAATCAAGTAATGGGCATGACATGAAATTCATATTATCATGATGGTTTGTAAAAAAAAAAAAAACAAAAAAAAAAAAAACAAAAAAAACCCCACCTTTTGCTTAAGAATCTGTTATTCAGTGACAACTTTCATTACGTACATAGAATAATTTTTCCTACATGCTCAAATATTTTCCTATGTTAATGCTTTGGCTTTTAAACTACAATGTATACTACAATAGTATACAATTTAAAGTAACAAAATGAAAACAAGTAATTGTTGATTAGTGAAAATTACTTGACCTTTTCAAGAAAAAACATATTTCATAAAGGACTAGCACATTATTTGAAACTGTTGTGTGTTAAGGGGAAAACTAAACAAACCAAACAAAACTGAACTAAACCAAACAAGCAAACAGACCACAGACTTTATGTCTTCTACGTGACTCCAAATTAAATTTCAAATCTGAGAACACATTTTTGGTCAGAAATTTGTTTTTTTTTTTTTCCCAGCTGTTTTCATTACTTGTTTCCTGGCGGAGATGGGGAGGTAGCAAAGTATAATTTGGAGAGGCTACAGAGAGCCAAAAATCCTGTAACTAACATTCCAGGAAAGGTGCTTTGTGCTTTCAGTCAGGAAGTACTGCAACGATGTAATCAAAAAGAGAATTTGTGCCTGCTGGGGAACTTGCACAGAATCAGTTGCTGCCATTCTTCAGCATCAAATCCTCAGAAGTTGGCAGATTCGTATTTTCAACAATAAGATCAACACTGAATGATTGCTTTCAGCAGTAAAATTCCAGGCAGCAAGCCTCATTCCTCTTGCTTGGAAAGGGAATTTAAATGAATGAAATTCAAAGCCTTCAACTTACAGTGCCACCCGGTCACTGGCTTGTCACTCCTATCATTCGCTCCCAGATCATCAGAGTTTCTATGCACAATACATTCTCTGATTTAAACAAACCTGCCACCAGCAAGCAGGGGAAATGCAGGGTACCTGCCTTCACCCACACATCCTGTGTTTAACCAGGGAGGACTGCACTGCGCAGGATGCACTGATTTCCCAGATTAGATGTGACCCTGCCAACTATCTCGCTCAGAACAGAGTGCCTGTGATTAGTAGCTATCCATGAAATGTTCAAAGTGAATCCAGATTTAGCGGTCTCATGGTGCATAATCCCTGCGCGTGGGGGTTGAGATGAGCCGCTCTGACGTAGTTGGTAATTAGGCAGCTTGAATAGCTGAGCTCCTTCAGCTTGCTGGGTAAATCCTGATTTCTCCAGGGAGCATGCTTTACGCAGTGCAAGATAAAAAAGCAGCAAGGCAAACACACAGCTTACAACAAAGCCAAGAAGCAGCTACTCACACTGCCCATTGCCCCTCGCTTCGTTTTCTCGCTGCCTGTGCAAAGAGCCTCTTTCCTGGGACATTCCCTACACTGGATAATGTGGCTTGATTCCAGAAACTGTGGTTGCTTCCCAGATCAGTGATGTGAATATCCCAGATCTTCATTTCACACCTATTTAGACCACTGCTGACTCCAGTAACCGTGAAGTAATTCTAGTCCTGTTTGTAGCAGATTCAGTCTATTTTATATATTAATATCATATTGCATTACTCTAAAAAGAAGATCAAGATGCTTTCTCTGGATCAGTAAGATCTATTTCTTGTCTTTTCTGTTACTCCCTGTTACAGGAAGAATTGGTTCTTATGGCTTCTGACTTAAATCCCTGTTAGAGTACAGGGGGTTGTATTGCTCTGGAGGGGACCATTTCAGATTGCAAGTTCATTTTAAGTAACTCCATTGTATTTTCAGTGTTCATCCTCCAATCCAAGATTATCTTCGCCCATCTGTTATTTTCCTACTGGCTACATGACCTGTGGATCACCCAGATTTTCTTCTAAAATCTCATTCTGTTTTGCAGGTTTTTTTGTGTGTGTGTCCATTCACTACTTGACGCTTATTGCCAGTGTGCATTTTTACCTAAAAGCTACACGTTATACAGCAGAAGGGTTTGTGCACACATCTGTAGGTCTGTGTGCTGCTGCTGTCCCATGCCTTGCATGTGTGATTCCCCAGTGTCATACAGGGGAAGCAGAAGTCTGTAGAAGCACAAGGTACGTGTTGTACAGCCCCTGAGGAAGTCCATATGTCTGATGTTGATTTGCAATGCAATGTTTCTTGAACAAATTCAGACCCATTGGTACGCACTGAAAACCGATATTAGAATTTTTCACTAGCTTATTTTTCACTCACTGCTGTAGTTTGCACTCACACTCACCTAATGTTGTCCTTGCAGATGTGCTCTTTGACAACTGATTGAATTAGAATTGCTGTACTTCTGGATTGCAGAAGGGCTTTGCTTATGCTTGTTCTTGCTAATACATATGGTAGGTACAAAAGGCACAGAGAAGCAACCTTTGATCAAAAGAAAATTCCCCCCCCCCCCAAAAAAAAAAATAAATAAATAGTTCTGGTCCAACCAAAGCTGTTGAACTGAAACAAATTAATATAAAGCCATCCCCTGGACTTAAACTACACCAAGATCTAACAAGTTGTTCACACAGAATCCCTTCTGGCTTTCAAGTTATTCTTCCTGCTTTTTTTTCTTACTGAATAATTACTCAAGAGGGAGACTGAAAAATGTGATATTGCTACTGATATGCACTTTGCATTATGTGGTGTCTTTTAAAGCTTTATTGAGCCTGCGTCCCATTATGCTGGAAGCTGTAAAGACAGAGAGGAAGTCACTGTTGACCTCAGGGAAATTAGCATTTAATTTAATAGCATAAAACAGGTGGCTGTGAAAACTTGGAGGCTGACGAGGCCTGGGAGCATGGAGGAAGAGGCTCATAGGAGCAGTTCAGACAGGAGAGTATATGGAATTTAAACACTGACATTTTTTCATTCTAACTCCTCTGCAGTTACTTGTTTAGGCTCTTGTAAAAGCAGAATTAGTCCCAATTATTTTATACCATATAGTATATACATATATATATATACATACTGTGTGAAATTCTTTGTTCTTGTGAACTTGGTGATATTACCTGCTGCTATACCTACCTGGTTGGTCATAAGCCAGAGATGCAAGAATAGTGTTTTACTGTTTGCAGAGGGCTGCTGCAATCAGAAATTGAAGCCCAAACAGCACAGTACCCTCCAGTATCTCCCTGGTCCTCCTGTTTTAATGTGTGTATGCAGGCTATTGATACTTCAGTGCTAACTAAATTATACCCCGGGAGAAAACACAGAGATGCTGGACAACTTCATCCTTCAGTGATGAAGGATTGACCCATAGAAGAAGAAAAGCTGGAAAATGTTGTTAGGCAATTGTAGCAGAAATGCTAAGTCATGGCCGGAAGCACTGATTGAGCACCTGGTGGGAAGGCAGAGCCAACCCATGGTAGCTCAGCTGCATGCAATGCACCTGAGTGACCAGAAGGGCCGGAGCTAGGATCCACCCCTTTCCATACTTCATTTAAGAGTTGGCAGTGGAGGTGAGAGTGTTTTTCTGGAGATTCCTGTCTATGTGAGCCTTTTACAGGTAAGTATTTTTCTTCTTTTGTTTGTGTGGCTGCTGTGTTTGGCTTGTTCTCACTTGCTGTAGCTGAGGATTGTGCCACTTCAATGTTATTGCTGTACTTTCCATCGCTCTGTAGAATTACAGACAATATAGCTTACATTACAGGTGGGCTCTAACCACTGAGCTTGATTGCATCTCTTCTTCTAGGACTGAAGGGGGCAAGGCAGGTTGCTTGCTTTATGTTCCAGTCTTGATTCCCTCCATCTCTTCAGTCTTTGTAAAACTTGGGGATTGTCATAGGAATTGTTCATGCTAAATGTCATCCTTCACGTCTTTCCAGGTGTTGTAGAAATAGAAAGAATCTTTCTCCCCAGTCCTGTTATGTGTGTACAATTGAAAATATTATAAGGGCTAAAGGGCTTAAGACTGTTAAGGTTTTCATGGGCCAGCCACAGAGAATAAAATGCCA